CACCATTGCCTACCTGCACTCACCTATCACCATCCCACCTACCTTCCACATCCCCACCCTCCTCTCTCTATTTATTTCTGAGCTCCCTTCCCCCTTCTCATTTCTGAAGAAAGGTCCTGACCCGAAACGTCAACTTTCCTGCTCCTCTGAAGCTGCCTGGCCTGCTGTGCTCCTCCAGGTCCACACTGTGTTATCTCTGACTCCAGCATCAGAAGTTCTTGCTATCTCTCATATCTGAACATGGTGTTGAGGTCAGTGTGGGAATGTAGCAGAGATAATTACAGTGCTACACGGCAGCTCTGGGTCTTGAAATCTCTTGAATGAAGTCCAGGTTTCTGGGGTGATTGAGTGATCAGAGTTGAGGCTTCCCTTGTACTCTGCCAGTGAAATGAATTTGATTGGAATTTGAGGAAGAATCCAATTGAACAAGGGGGAACTTTTGGTGAGGCATCTGTAGATGTTTAACCTCTAGTTCTGATCAATTTTAGAGTTAAACTAGTCTGTCAACAAGACACAATGATACCCATTGTTCATCTATCGTGTGCTGCTTACATTTTGATTTTCTTTGTTGTTCGCACTTTCTCTCCTTTTTCCTTCCTATCCAGGCTATGTCCGTATTTGGTTTCTTCCCAAGGGGAACCAGCAAAAATGCTCAGGTTTTACAGAGGCGCATTCAAGAGCTGCAGGTAGCTGCACTTGTCTGGGCACTGTAGCTTGCTGAACAGCTACTGACCAGCTTTCAGACCATTCCATCACGTACAGTGGGTGTACAGGGTGTGGCCCAGGTATGGTGGGGGATATACAAGGTACAAACTAGGTATCAGGTGTGACTTGGGTATGGTGGAGGTGTGCAGGGTGTGACCCAGGTATCGGTGGGGGTGTGCAGGATGTGACCCGGGTATTGGGTGTGACCCGGGTATTGTGTGTGACCCGGGTATCGGTGGGGGTGTGCAGGGTGTGACCCAGGTATCGGCGGGGGTGACCCAGGGATCGTTGACACTGTTCAGGGTGTGACCTGGGTACGGGTGGGTGTGTGCAGGGCGTAACCCGGGTATCGGTGGTTGTCCAGGTGGCTAAAATCTTGATCAAAGTGGTTAGGTTTTAGGATTAATCCTAAGGAGATGGGTCTAGAGAGATGAGAGCTTAGGGAGAGAATCCCAGAGGTTCCTGATGGGAGAATGCGCAGCTGCCAACATTGGAACAATTAAAATCAAGGATTGTCAAGAGTCAGGATTAGAGGAAACCAGCGATCTCCGAGTTGGATACAGGGTTGGAAAAGATTACAGAGGTAAGGAGGGACACATCTCTGGAAATGTGAAAGCAGGGATGAGAAATTGAAAATTACAATGTTATCAGACTGAGTTTATGTGACATCATCAACAATGAGGTCCCAGCAGCTAGGACAGCTGAAGAATAGCACTGAAGCTCTACCTGGATTTAAAGTGACTCCAGGCTCATAAATCTGAGGATGTGTTTGTGTCATAAACATCACCACAAAACGGTTAACACAGGCGTGTGAATCTTGCTCCACTTTATCTTGAGGTTAAGGTAGCCCTGAATCCACAGGAGACCAACACTAAGAACATTCTGTAAATATGCCTTAAATGTAACTGTATTGCTCAAAATGCAATGCTTACATGTGTCATCATTTCCTGTAGAACTTTAATTGTCATGTTCCCTGAATTTGTCATGATTCTGTTGTTTCAAATCATACAACATAAACATATATTCAACTTGACTTGTGTTCTGTTGAGCTCAGCAATAAAATAAACTTTTGAACGCATAGTTTCTGAGAATTTTACAGTTCAGAAGGAGGCTATTCAACAGTCATGCCTGTTACAGTTCTTTGATTGAGACAATCATTCGATCTGACTTTCTTGCTTTTACCCATAACCCTACAGATGTGTCCCTTGCAAATGTTTATCTGATTCCCTTTCAAAAGTTGAATTCAAATTGAATCTGCTCCACAATCCTTTCAGGCAGCACAGTACACAATTATAACTCATGTAAAATAAAATCTCTTCTTCACATCTGGTTCTTTTGCCAAACACCCTAAATCTGCCCTGTGGTCAACAACTGTTCTCTCTGTGGGAGCAATTCTCCTTATTTACTCTATCCTGTTCCTTCAGCATTCTGAACATTCATTAAATTCCCTCCTTTGATCAAAGAAGAACAATCTCATGTTTCGATGAAGCCTCGTAGCTCTGGTGCCATTCTAGTAGATATTCTCTGCACGTTCACCAAGACCAATATTCTCTCAAATGCACAGAAAACTGCAGCTGTGTCACTATAAAGGCTATTATGCTTCAGCTTCACTTAAGTGGTTTGGATTACAGAAACAGTATAAGTAACCTGAGTAAAGATGGGTGAATTGCCAACTATGTTTAAATGTCCAGAAACTGAGACTCTTTGGAAAAGGACTCATACAATTAATAGTAAGGTCCTGGGAAGTGTTACAGAGCAAAGAGAACTTGGAATGCAGGTTCATAGTTCCTTGAAAGTGGAGTCACAGATAGACAGGATAGCGAAGAAGGTGTTTGGTATAGTTGCTTTCATCGGTCAGCGCACTGAGTATATGAGTTGGGAGGTCGTGTTGCAGCTGTACAGGACATTGGATAGGCCACTTTTGGAATACTGTGTTCAATTCTGGTCTCCCTGCTATAGGAAGGATGTTGTGAAACTTGGAAGGGTTCAGAAAAGAATTACAGTGATGTTGCCAGGGTTGGAGGGTTTGAGCTACAGGGAGAGACTAAATAGGCTGCGGCTGTTTTCCCTGGAGCGTCAGAGGCTGAGGGGTGACCTTATAGAGGTTTATAAAATCATGAGGGGCATGATTAGGGTGAATAGCCAAGGTCTTTTCCCCTGGGTAGAAAGTCCAAAACTAGAGCTTAGGTTTCAGGTGAGAGAGGAAAAATTTAAAAGGGACCTAAAGGGCAACATTTTCATGCAGAGGGTGGTGTGTGTGTGGAATGAGCTGCCAGAGAAAGTGGTGGAGGCTGGTACAATTGCAACATTGAAAAGACGTCTGGATGAGTACCTGAATGGGAAGGGTTTAGATGGATATGCGCCAAATTCTGGCAAATGGGTCTAGATTAATTTAGGATATCTGATCGCATGGAAGAGTTGGACCAATTCTGTGCTGTGCATCTCTATGACTCTGTGACTCTAAGTGGGAAATAATTAGATTTGTCACATATCTAAACTGGGGTTTTGCTTTACATAATTCAAGGCTTATTTAAATATGGTCTTGCTCATCAAAAACATCAAGTGGAATGGTCTGAAAACAAATGTTCATAATGCAGTAATCCTAATATTTGTGCGTGTTGTAAGAATGAGAAGCTGTAATGCAAATTTGTAATAACAGTTTCACCTTACTATCTATTGTGCATTAACTAGACAGAGATGAGTTTCTTGAAATCAATGTGATAAAACTTGCAACCTGCAGCTTTTCTCTAAACTGTGTATGGAGAAAACATTTCTCCTAAGGACCTTTCATGTGTGCATTTTGTTATTGAAAATCAGAAGCATGCAGGTGTTAAGTTACTTACAATAGTTTTCTTTAGCTGGATGATTCCAGCAAATGGTTGCAGGTTCAGGTGAGTTGTTGTTTTACTACCAACTCTTCATTTTCGTCAAAAAAATCATTGTCGGGTTTTGGAAGCATTGGATGAATTCTGAACTTTTTCAGAACCATTTGGAAATTGTGTTTTTTCAATGCAATGTTTTTTTATCCTCTTTAGAGTAATTTGTCTGTTCCTCCTGATTGATTAAGTGCGTCATCGCATGCTGCTAAACGAAGACCATCATTGTTCCCTTAATGAAGCTCAATTCAAATTCAGGCCTGATGTGTCACTCTCTCTGCAGTTTAGACAGTGGTTCACACTGAGTGGGTGCTCGCAGGTGGGGCGGGAGCACCCATGATCCTGTTTAACTTTGTGTCTAACACATTAGCTAGTTCAGACAACTGGTTCTGAAATGTATGTTGTCATGAATGATGCTGACCTCCCTCCTGGTGAGAGTTGGGTGGTGGAAAACTACAGATGTACCAAGCCAAGCCACTCGACAGATGCAGGAGTGTATGGATGATGATTCTGGCTTCAGCCTATGCATTGAAAGGCTAATGACTATTGCTGTTGATACTGGCGGCCTCAGTGCAGTCTAGTGATTGGGCCTGAGGCTATACTACTTTGAGTGTCTCTGCTGGAAAATACTCGGAGTTCTGCAAAGTGTTGCATCAAACTATTCTCAAACTTAGATGTCCATTCCTCCTTGATGGCCAGGAGCAACCTGGCTGTGAGGCCAAGGGGACAGTGCTGAGATAAAAACAGATGTGAGAACTGAGGAAGCGAATGGAACGTTTTTTTTTTGTTCCTTCGTAGGATGTTGGCTTCGCTAGTTGAGCCACCATTTATTGCACACCTCTGGTTTCCCTTGAGAAGGTGGTTCTTGAACAACTGGTGTAGGGATATCCACAGAGAATTCCAGGATTTTCACCAAGTGACAGTAAAGGAGAGATCGTATATTTCCAAGTTAGGATGGTGAGTGGCTTGGAAGAGAACTTGCAAGTGGTTGTGTTCCTGTGTATTTGCTACCCTTGTCCTTCTAGACAGCAGTAGACATGCGTTTGGAAGCTGCTAAGGAACCTTGGACAATTTCTTTTTCAAAGCAGTTTGTATCCAGTCCCACAGTTTATCTAATACTTAGCAAGTTTCAACCAGGTCTTTTGTAAATGTGCAAATTGATGTTTCAGTCCTGGGCAAGGGCACCCCCTGGTGGTCTGTATAATTTCTGCATTAATAATGTGAAGTAACCCAATAACATTTGAGTGCTAACAGCCGTTTTGCAGCTTTTGAGAAACTTTGCTCCGTTTTGTTTTATCAAAGTTTATAAGCTAATAAACTGGTGCTTGAAAGGAATGCCTTTTACTGAACGAATGTGTTCCAGAGTGTCAATATACTGCATGTTCGTCACAGTTACCAAAAAGTGAACAATGTTGGGAGAGAGGAGTTCTAGTTGTTACATGATGTCTTTGTGTAGCAGTTTTTATTCTCTAACAGGATGTGGGTGTTGCTGGCTGGGCCAGAATTAAGTCACATGAATATGTTGCCCTCCTTTAATTGATCAAGAGGGCAAAAGAAGTAATCATCTGGAAATTGAGACCAAGTCCAAGGTGGTGGTGAAGCAGGGCTAGAGGTCAGAGACATTTGACACACGAACTTTGTTTCGGCCCCTAATTTTCAACTTTTATAATAATGTTGCTATATTTAAATTGTAAATCTCTGCCTACATTTATACAAACTGTCTGCATGCTAATCTATTATAGTGCAATTACACCTTAGCCCAATAGAGGCAGTGTTCGTAAATAACTGTCTCGGTGTATTTCAGTATACTTACTGTAAATCCCACCAAATGTGCTATTCATAAGGAGTTGTTCTATGTTATAGGTACAGGGTATTTAAAATGGAAAAATGTGCATAAATAGAAGATTCTTCATACAATATGAACAGATACAAATCTACCAACATCAATATTGATTATGTACATTGCTTTAATTTTTTTCCAGGCCAAAGTTGAACGGTTAGATATTGGGACTCTTATTATCCCTTCCATCACTGTGGCCCAAGCTGGTGTCTACCTGTGTGTGGGAACAAATGCTGCTGGCTCCTCAGAGGGTCGCATTGAAGTCTCAGTGTTAACCTGTAAGTGCCAGTTTTCCAGAGTGTTACATTTATTTGCACTGTTGGCTATAATTGAGTTCAGTCTCGCCTTTGTGCCCAGAAGTGATTTTCAGTATAAATAGCTCTTCCAACTTCATAAGAAGCTATTTCGGATCTTTCCTACTTGAAGATAATCCATTTCTGCTTGGCCACAGGTAGCCTTAAAAACATCTTAAACTGAAAAACTCAGTATCGCTTGTTACTGAGCAACCTTTTTAATAACCCACCTGTCTTAAAAACTAACTAGAAAGCAAATCATGTTTCAGTAGTGAAGAGCTCACACTGGCACCAAGTAAGTTGTTTCTTAGCTTGTAAAACTTGGAAGATAACGTGTTACAGAGGATTGGGCTAACCTTAGGGAAAACAATCACCTTCAGATGTGTCTTTGGTCTGCCTCATACAGCTAAATCCCGTTTCAACTGAAGGAAAGCCAGGAATTCCCAAAACAATAGTGTTCAGTTATTCATTGGAACAAGAGTCGGCCATTCAGCCCATCAAGCCTGTTCTCCCATTCACCGAGATTATAGCTGATCTGTGGCCCAACTCCACATTCTTGCGTTTGCCCCATATCGCTTAATACCTTTGCTTAACAGAGTTTATCTGTCTCAGATTTAAAACTAACAAACTGATCAGCATCTACTATCTGAGGAAGAGTCACTTGACCCAAAATGTTAATTCTGATTTCTCTCCACAGATGCTGCCACACATGCTGAGCTTTTCCAGCTATTTATATCTTTGTCTCTGATAAGCGTCCACTGTCGTTTGCGGAAGAGAGTTCCAAACATCTACTACCTTTTTGTGTATAGAAGTGTTTCCTAACATCTCTGCTGAATGTTCTGACACTAATTCTCAGACTATCCCCCTAGTTCTGAATCCCCAACCAGTGGAAATAATTTATCTACCATGCCATTTTCCTGTCCATTGACTCCAACTCAGAATTTTCCATTTGTGGGCTTAAGTCTGGTAAACAGAGTTTATTCTTTGAGGTTCCTTCCAAAATAATTTTACAGTTTTTAATGTTTTTTCTCTTTCTTCATATAGTGGCTTTTGTGGTTGTTAAATGGTAACTATGGTGCAGTTGCTGTAAGAGTTTCTCTGTAAGGTGAAATGTTTGTCTGTCGCACGTGTGGTGGTTTCATAATCTATGACGTGTCAATAAACAAAACATCCTTTCCTTTTCCCGGTTTATCTTCAAAACAGATACACCTAAAACCACCTCTATACCTTTGATTTCTGATTGGTCAATCACCCATAGAAACCTCTTGTTGAGAGTGCTGTAATTGGCAGTTATTTTTAAACCCCAAATCATTACCTGGAATTTTGACCTCTAAATATTGGAAAACTGATGTATTTATTTGCAAACCTAAAGTTCAAAAAGTTTTAGAAAGCAGAATTATTTCATTAAAAATGAGCTACCTCGTATCGCTCATCGACGTCCCCAAGAACTTGACCCATATAAACCCATTTTAAACTTTGTGCCAGCATCACAATGGGTCATTTGGAAATTATTCAGTCCTCTAAAATTTTCTAAAACATATTAAAATATATTTGCACTTGTTCTGACTTTTCCAAATATGACCGATTTAATTTGTGGTTTCTGCACAGAGTAGGTGCTGTAGCATATAGCAATTTCTCAGATATGTCACTTTGTTTTGTTTAATTTTTTGGGGAGGTGGCCATGACGGGCAAGATCAGCATTTGTTTCCCTTCCTTAACTGTCCTCAAAGTGAGTGGTTTGCTTAGGTCACTTCAGAGGGCAGTTGAGAGTCAACCGTATTGTTTTGGAGTCACATATAGGCCAGACCAGATAAGGGTGGCAGATTTCCTTCCCCAAAAGACATTAGTGAATTAGTTGAATTCTGTTGGAAGAATAATGAGACTTGTGCAAGCTATGTATATCTATGTCTGACTTATCATGCTTACTGTTGTTTTCAGTTTTCTGGAGGTGTTTCCTCCTGCCATGTTTTGATCTGTCTGTTTCTGGTGTCTACTGTCCCCACAGCAGAAGGATCAGTACCAGTAATCCGAATTCATCCCTCCCCTGGCTCAGTAACAGAGGGAGACATGCTGGAGTTGTATTGCCATGTGACAGGAGATCCTCAACCCAAGATCACATGGCGCAAGAGAAGTGGTTACCTAACAGACAATCACCAGGTACGTTATGGTAATTTCTAGATTGGGGGTGGGTTAAAGAAGGACCATCCATGGACCTTTTCGTGGAAGACAATGAGAATTCTCCCAGAGTCATAGCCGATGCACACATCTTGATTAATATCACCAGCACAGACAATCTGATCATTTATCATGTTGCTCTTGCTGGAGCTTAATGTGTGTAAATTGGCTGCATCAATTCCTACATTATCACAGCAGCAAGTACACTTCAGAACTGTGGGACACTCTAACAGCTTGAAAGGCAAGTCCTTTCACTCTCTGGGTCCCCAAGAGTGGGAATCCTGACCAGTTTCCTCCTTTAAGTTTTGTTTATTATTCAAATATCAGACTCAGTAAGTGTTAATGTTCAGATTGATGAGTGACAACCTTGAGGTGAATCTGGCAGTACAAGTCTTGAGAGCTGAGAGCAGCCCAGTTCTGTGTGGTTATTTGCTCTGGAACTGTGGGTATCTCTGGTAAGGTCACTGTTTACTGCCAATTTCTAATTGACCTGGAAAGATGATGGTCAGTTGTTGCCTTGTTCTGCTATAGTCCATATGATGTAGGGGCACCCACAATGCTTTTTACTGTAATGGATTGTTGCAACTGAGTGGCTTGTCAGAGGGTTTTAAGAGTGGACTACATTGCTGAAAGTCACATGTAGGTCAGACTGGATAAGGATGGCAGATTTCCTCCTCTTAAGGGCGATAGTGAACAGGAAGAACTTTTACGAACAATTCAGTTGTTCCATGATCCTTATTAATTAAGACACCATTTATTTCCAGCATATTCAAAAATTAAATAATTTAAATCTCCCTAGTTGCTTTAGTGAGATTTGATCTAGTGTCACCAGAGGCTTTAGATTAGTAGTCCAGTAGCATTACCATCTTGTTACTGCCCCTACTGGTGTCAGAGGAAAGATCCCACTGTGCTAATACTATGCTTTATCTTCTAGGTGCAAGGTCCAACGTTACGCATTCGACAGGCCACACATGCTGATGCTGGGGATTATATCTGTCACGCTGAAAACAGCCTTGGAATGCAAGAAGTTTCAGTCTCTGTGGCAGTCAGCTCCAGTGCTTTCCGTATGTAACCCACTCACTCTTTATGAGTAGCATTGGATGGTTTCTGTCCCTTCCTTTATTGTTGAGTGCTGTACAGGAGTTGGCTTGTTGGAATTGACACTTCCACAGTTGTTGAGAGACCAAGATTTTGGTGGCATTTGAATGGGTGTGTACTCTGTCTTAAGAGTGAAAGTAGCAGGTTTTTTGTTAATTATGAATGTTTAACCATTTATGCTGTTGGAATGCTTCAAAGAATTAAAGATCAAGTCTGCAATGTTTGCATTTATACTTTTAAGAACATCTCAAGCATAGGAATTCTATCTGAGAAAAGACATCTGTGTCGTAGAGAGGGTGCAGAAGAGATTTACCGGGATTTTTTTAGTCAAGTGAGGATATTTAAGAAACTAAGAATTTCTTTAGTATAATACAGAAGGTTGAAGGAAGAAATTATATCACTTGGCAAGATTTGATGGGTATAAAGGGATTAACTATTTCAGCAGGCCGATCAGTGAGTAACTATTGACAGGACAAGGTCACCTACTCAGAAATCTAGGAATGTGTTCATTCCATCACCATACACTCATTGCTAGCCCAACAAAGTCTGTACTGGCTCAGCCACGTTGTTTGGATGTATAACAGCTCAATGTGCAATCTGCGCAGTGAACCAGCTGCAGGGTTGCAACCTCCTGGATGTCCAGAACTTCACCAAAAGGCCACACCCAAGCGAAACATGAAGATGTCGGGCATTGACATTGACAAGTTGGAGTCTGTTGCTGATGGCCTTGAGCTGTGGAAGATGCCTGTTTGTTTGAAAGCATGTCAAAAGGAGGCAAATGGAATCAAAAAGAGATGAAACTGCCGAGAAGAAGGCCTGGTGAAAACAGCACATCATGCTGCTTGTTGACCTATTGACTTCCTCTACAGTGACTGCACCAGAGACCACTGTGTCAGGATGCAGCACCTGAGGCACACCAGGTGATGTCCAATATAGATTTGACTGCCAAATGCAAACCATCATCTTACAAATGGAAGGCTGCCACCAATGTGTGTGGGGGTGGGGTGTCAACTATTATAATTGGTCAGTCAGCAGATAACTAGTGGACATAAAGTTGAGATATCCCAAACTAACAAAGGGAAAATGGAGCAAGTAAATTATAATAAAAGTAAAACTTTCCAAACTAATCAAATAGTTGAGTCATATCATTATTCATATCATTAATTAAGGTAGAGTTAAATTGAAAATGTGAAACATGCACAGAAAAAACATCTGGATGGTTCCATACTAATGTTATCAAAGCTTATCAATTACAAGAACATTCAGTATAGGTCAGTAAAATACCTTGCATTGGCACAGATCGATGAGGACGCCATACGGGACTTTAAGATACACAGATGGAAAAACATTAAACAAACTTCATTATTCATTATTCAAGACCAGTTATAGCAGTGCTTCCCAAACCTTTTTCCAGTGTGACCCCCGCCACTGTAATGTGAATCCCACAAGGGAAAGGATTAGCTGCAGCTGAAGGGTAGGCCTGGCTGGGTAGGTGTGAGTGTGACAGGGGGTGTAGAAAGTGGAGAGTGGGCAGTTGGAGGGCCAGGGCTGTGGAGGGAATTCCCTTCGTAAGCCTCTTTGCTGCCTTTTTGTGCAGCAGCAATCAGTCCGTTAGGTTACATACACCAATAGAGAAAGGCACAGAGGGCCCTCACAGCTGTTAGCATTCAGTCTGAGCTCCATGGCAGCCATTGCTGCCTCAAAGCTTGTGGGCCACTGAAATATCGCCACAGAGGCCGGTATCCTGTCACCCAAGTCACCCTTTATTTCTATGTGGAGAGCCCTTGGTACTGGTCCAGCTTCCTCAGAGCCAGCTCTCAGCGTATACAGAACTTCTGCACTCCTGTTTAATTCTGACAGCCAGGGCTCCCTGATTGGACCAGGTTAACAAACCAAATCAAAGACCTCATATTCTAAGAGATTTGCCTGGCTGACCTCTTCACAATCACGACAGCCGCAAAATCCCATCTCAGGACCCCATGACAACAAGGTGCAGGGCTGGATGAACACAGCAGGCCAAGCAGCATCATAGGAGCAGAGAGGCTGACGTTTCGGGCCTAGACCCTTCATCAGAAAAGGGGGAGGGGAAGGGTGTTCTGAAATAAATAAGGAGAGAATGGGAGGCGGAGAGAGGAGAGGATAGGTGGAGAGGACGAGAGAGTTGTAGTGGGAGAGAGATCCCTTGAG